TTATATTTATTCCGATGCCACATAATAACTATTCAAGCTCCAACTATAGACTTCAATCTAACAATAGACCGTCGATATAGGCGTTACTTAATGACGACGCTTCTTTCTATTTTATCGTTTCTATTGACGTTGGCACATCATAGAAACGCGTATAGTGTAGAGTGTAGGTATAGCTTCCGCAAATGATGCCCTACATTTTCTAAATCGGTGCCTCACAATGGTTATGTGTACACAAAATTGCAGCGTAAACATTATTTAACGCTTATTTTTTGTATCAAGGGAGCATTTCTTATTTCTATGATGACTATCGTATACATATAATATATCCTTTGAAAACATTGTGTAATTCTGTAGGTTATTAAAAATATTCAATGTATCATTTATGTACCTTTAATGTGAAATAAAATTTAGACGTCAAGATTTTCTATTTCTTATAGTTTCGTAATTTTCATATATGACATATACTTTTGAATATTTTTAAATTCTGACTCTTCATTTATATATATAGGTATATATGTATAAATGATAAAAGGTAATAAAATCATCGAGTCGCCATAAAACCAACAGTATAAATTAACTACAGACTTCTTCGTTGCTTAGTAGAGAATAATTTCACGCCTCATAGGATGTATATGAGGCTTGCGATACTTGTATTGATATCGATTGAAGTAATGACGCGCACGATGTAAAAGAAGAACGCACCGAGATGCATTTTCTTCCAAATATAGCAATTAATTGATCTTTATCCGAGAAATTTGATAATAAATATTCAAAAAACAATAAAATTTTTGGTTAATTTAAAAAAAAAATTAAAATCTCAAAATATAAATAAAACAAATAACTTAATTTATATCAAAGAGAATTCGTTAAAAAAAGATAGCAATTTATTTTTATGCACATAATGTGATATACGTTACCTTAAATCGCATATCATCATAATTATCGTATTTGCGTCAAACGTTATAAACATTTTCATTGATTAAAAAATGTCTGATATAATGCACGTAAAAAATAAATGATGATAGTGATATACCAAGTAATCAACTAAGTAAAGTCAACAATTTATCACTTACCTAACAAGATATATAAACACGCATGCACACATATAAAATTCGAAAAATAGAATGAGTAATCTCTAGCAGCCGTGTTACTCCGATTAAATGCATATTATGTCATATGCAAACGATAACCTCAATAAGATAAACGGTATCGCTAAGAGTTCTCATGCGATCGGGAGCACGATTAAGTCGTCTCATATATATTTTTTAAATACGAACTACCGACTACAAATATCGTTGTTGTTTATTAATTAGCAGGTATATATTAATAAATAGATTTCTTATTCACAGCAAATTTCATATTTTAAGTTCCAATACGTATGTGTACGAACAAATGTAATAATTTTTATAATATTTTAACTCAAGAGCTGCAAACAATTTAAAAAATAGGAGTTAATTATTACATATATATAAGCTCTCAAGTTTCGAATACATCGAATTTTTAAGTATAAGTAGAAAAATTGATATGATTAGAAAGCGTTTTACGCAAAAGTGGGTAAAATTGAAAAGTGCAGGCTTTAATTCGTTTGAGAAAGTGAGATAAAAGTTAAAACAGAATTAGAGTTAACGATTGTTAGTTTTAATTCTATTTTAATTTTTAACGTCGACGGGGATATACCCTTTGATAAATACAATTCTCAACGTTTAATATTTTTTTCAAAAATAGTATTTGTTAAAAAATTTCTTTCTCCATAGAATATATGATACTCTTGATGATGAAGACTTTCACGACACGCATTTAAAATAGATGATTCGCAAAAGATTCGTTCAATCAAGATGAATATTTTTCTGAAAAATTAACTGTGGATGTTGCTCAACAATTTTTATTTCGATACGCGAAAACAGAAGAAAATCTTGTTAACGCCCAGCAACGTGACGACGAGATTTCGGAGCGCAGAGGGTAGAAATTGAATCCGTAATGATCTTTATAGGTTTACTCACGTTGCTTGAAATCTCAAAATTTTTGTACTTAAAATGAGATAAATACACACACATATATATGTATATTTAGGCGTTGAAGAGAAAGAAAACGAAGATACTGTAAAAAGTACAAGCAACGCGAATGGAGCTAATTTATCGCAATTTATTGAGTCACTCATATCGTGTTCCTCGCTCATCATATCGTCATTGCATATAGATAAAAATAACGATATTTCTTTTCTTTGCAATTCGACGCAAAAGTAATAGCCACGCAGCGGGGAGTTTACATTAGAGGTGCTAAAACTGGCTAAAACGCACTCACCTGCAGATGAATGGGTACCTTCTTCACCGGAGTACTCATCTCGCGGGCTCAACTTCCACGGCACTCTCGCAAGATAGGTATTCACTCTTTGATGGTCTTTCGATTGACACGAGCCACTTAGCTTAGCGTTTGCAATCTTTTCGAATCGTTCTCCTCTGTTCTTGATTCTTTTCTACGCGGAGAGAAGCGAAGGAAGGCAGGTGTACCAGACTACCCGCGTACCAACTACCATACAATACCGGTTACACGTACAAACTGCGCGCATCGACTAAACCACTAAACGCGATTGACGGTTGACGGTTGACGCTTGGCGCTCTGCTGTGCTGTGCTGTGCTATGCTGTGCTGTGCTGTGCGACGACTGCGACGTTGCGAGTTGCGAGCGCGCGACGCGCGTCACCACCATTTTACACCGTTTACACCGTTCGCACCGTTCGCACGGTCTAAAGGGTGACTACTCCCTCACCTCGGCCAATCAGAGCAATGCGCGGACAAATTTGAAATAAAACACCGGCACCGGTAAGAGAGATTCGCTTTATATGTAGCCATATGCTTAGATATATGTATAATATTTGACTTTACGCTATATTTACGAATGTCATGAATCGCGAATCGTTTCTTTCCATTCTTTCAAGTTCTTTTTTTTTATTACCGACATGTGTGTCGATAAATGATGAAATAAAAGGTACTTCTTGATTACTTTAGCACCTTTAGCCTCATAATAATGCGAAAATAACACTAACAAAATTTCGTGCGCGCACGCGTGTGTATATATATTATATACACTCTTTGACAAAAAGTTAGGCACAGATTTGAATAAAAGCCATTTCAAAAACGGCGACGAATACGGCAAAATGTTATAGGATTATTTCGATTCCTCTCGATAAGGACTCCGAAAAAAAAAGTCCTACGCGTTGTATCTGTCACCATTATCGAGAAAATGATCTAGATTTGTGCGTAACTTTTTTTTCAGAGTATATACACTGACATGTAAAATACATAAACGCTTTTCTACTCTTTTCATCTACAAAATATATTATCACTGTAAGAACTTATCCATTGTTGTATTTTAAATACAAATGGTTAATTAAAGAGCATCTTTTGGTTGTATTATACCATATATTGTTGAAGTATGTACGTATGGAATTTCAAAATATCTTGCGTACACGTTTAAAAAGATTTTTGCGCTAGAATCGTGAAATATCATTTAGTTCTTTTCTTAGAAAATAAAATGATGAAAATGATTTTATAATCTTCCATTTTATTTTTTTTTAAATAATGAAATTAGTTTCATTTCAGGATTGCAAAGAGATTTACAATTAAATCTAGTTACTCATTTATGCTCAGTCGCTTCTTTCTAATATTTTGCAATAAAATCTTATTTTACGTTACATTTTTGCATAATGTTCAGCAAAATCTAGTTAATCAATTCAAGGATAATTTCAGGTTATTCCAGGAAAAATTCTGATTTTTCCAGGATTTATGCCATCGATTAATTTTCATTATTTAATTAATTTTCATCGATTTGGACAATATTATATGCTTTGTATTTAAGTTAGGATTCTATACGAATGAATTAAAACGCTAACAAATTTGGAACAATATTATTTCTTGTTTTATAAATAATATCAAAGAAACATCCATCAAGCAATTTTTCAACTATGTTTTATTTTAGACGTTAAATTTAAATTTTTCATTTTTTATTGGTAACTTATTGCATCTTTAAAGGAGGACTTATACCTTCTGTATAAAAAGTACCGGGAATCGTTAAAAAAAACACAGAATATTTTATTTATTCATCAAAATTTATTTTGTCGCCTTCAAAGTAATCCCCATCGTTTGCAATGCACATGTGAAAACGGCGAAACCAATCTTCCATGCACTTCTGGTAGGCCGATTCTGGTATGGCCTTCAGGACACGCTGCGAATTCCGTTTGATGTCATCAATCGATGAAAAACGAGTACCACGGAGTGGCAATTTCAGTTTCGGGAAAAGAAAGAAGTCGCACGGTGCCAAATCAGGCGAATACGGTGGATG